ACCAAATCCACCCTCCCTTGTTGCTTCTCCCGCTTTAGGCCGAGGCTTCGGTGTCTCATTACGCTTACCCCGCAACCCCGTCTGCCTATGGTGATTGCGAGGTCCCTCTCACTTACTAAAAACCATCCCGTTGCGCTTGCCCCCCAGCTCCTGACTGGACTTCTACACTACGATTCGTGGATTTGGGTACAGAACACATTTATTTTGTTCAATTGAGCATTTTATAACGAGAGAAAAATAAAGACGAATCGATGAACAATTACTTAGTAGGTACTCCTTACTATAAATAAACTACATGTATCTAAGTATGGCTTGATCGGTACCTAGAGCCCCAACCTGTAATACAACCAGGGTTACACTGAATTCATTAGAGGTACCTACATAGGCACATAGGTACCTTGTCTCTGGTAATCGCATGATGATGGGAGAATGCACATGACATGACAACATGACAGGGTTGCCTCGAGACACCAAACAATACCTTCGATCAATCTCTGGACCATAATAATCGACTAATTATTATCTTGCTGCAACGCCTAGGTACAATTCTAACCCTATAATTGGATGTTCATAGATAGGTCAAAGCGTCAGACCAATGTCTCGTTATATTCTGCCATCTGAATATACGAACCACCCGAATAACTAAATGAACCAATTTTTAAATATCTGATTTACTTTTTTGGTTAATCATACAGATAACAGCTAATAAGCTAGCTTGCATACCGTGAACCTTTTTTTTCCAAAAATATATATAAGTATATTGACTTGGTCTGATTTAAATTCGACATTTCAAGATGTAGAAAAATCGTAAGTAGTTGCTTTTATAACATCTATTAGTTGATTTATTATCATTATTGTGAATACATATTTAAATAAATAATATCTGCAATTAGTCCGATTTCACGGACATTAAAAGAAAAATAATTTATTGATAATTGCTTGATTAAAATAATACTTAATTTCACTTTCGTGACGTATTATAAATTCAGTTTTAACCGCAGCATTCGCCGAAATACGTGCTTAATAAAGTTGAAAATTGATTTATTATTGTAAAACCAATCAAAGTAGATACGCAATTTGTTCATTTTAGGTTTGTACATATTATGAACTACAATCTAGTCCGCCTTGAATTTTATTATTTTTGGCCACTGTTTATTAAAATTCTGCTTTGGTTGGAAGAAGTTTGTAAGAAGTTTTGATATGTAGGCGCTAATTAGGAACATCATTACATACATCCAAATTTTAGTTAGGTATATATTAAAATGTACCATAACACCAATAAGGCCAATTAAGGGCCAGTTAGCTTAAATTAAGGGTAACACAATAATAATTTTACGTATACTTGTTTTTGTACCATTTCGTATTTAAAAACAGGTTATTAGTATAAAATGTAGGTGACCTTAAAATATTTTGTACAATCTTATCGAATAGGTAATTTACTGGGTAGTTCTGAAAAACTTATGCATTATTTTAAAGTCTCTTCGAGTGAATCGATCTGAAACCTTCTTATAAAACTTACTACCCTACCAGTCTGATCATTACTTATCTTGGTTTCGTAAAGTGCACCAGTGTTTTCACGTTTTTAATTATTATAATTTAATTATGATTTACATAACAAACAGTTTAACGATTTAAAACTATAAAGTGTATATACGTTATTGTAACTTCCTGTTATTAAAATATTCCATCCAGCTTGAAGTATTTTCAACTTATGGAGGTAAGGTTTTTCAAATTAAAGTATTGGGAGTAATTAGTGGAGATTGTTTTGCACAGAAATCCTTAAAAACTGGTAGATAGTTCACTAGCCTGAGATCCAGCATGTTTTTCTAGCGCCATTAACAAATCTTTTACGGCTGTGACGCGGCACAATCGAGAAGTTTTCTCAGTAAAATTTTATGCACTAGGTAATTTTTTCAATTATGAATTACTATCATTATTTTCTGAGCAGCTAGATGAACATTTCTTGTAAAAAGTCTCTGAAAAAGTGTCCGAGACTATAAAGCTATGATGGAAAATTTGGAAATTCACGATGTATACATCAAAACCTTTAAAAATCAATATTGCTCGACGAATGTAGGTAGGCGTTGATAGCAATTTAACTAATTATCTATAGTCACCTTCTTATATGTCTTCGTGGATAAATTCTATTATATATTTATAGGTACCTTAAGGTATTAGATAGTATATTTGATTAAACATTTTTTTATTCTGCTCGCAATCATCTGAAACACAGGTTGCCCTAGTTCAGGCACCCAATATTATGAACTTGGTGTAGCTAAGCAAAACAGTATATTCTAGATTATGAGTTTTATTTTTCATAAATTTTATTTATTTATCTATATCAGATAGCTGAGTCCCTGTACCTAGTATTTAGAGGAGACGTAAGCCACGACCTGGGCAAAACTCCGTTAGTCATTAGATTAATCGTTAATTAACGAAGATAACATTTTCGTTTACAAATTAACTTTTGAGTCGCATTCTACCTTCACATTAGTCCGTTACTTTGACGAAAATTACTCTAAATGTAATAAGTAGGATAAGTATGTATTATAAATACTTATATACAGGTATGATCATGCATGGTGTAGGTAAGTCAAATACTTAATATTTAATATAAATAAATGTTTGTTTTGTATTAGGATAGGTACCTACCTACTTGTATAATTGGTTTCGGTTTAACATTTTTTATTTAAATGGTGATGTTATAAGTATGATTTTCAAAAATTGCAATTTTTAAAGAAGTTTATTTGATTATTATGTATTATAATCATCCTTTTCCCAAATACTTCTGTAAACTACACTCAGACAGGCTTCTCAAAACCTCGCCATTGAGCGCAATCTTTAATTCTTCTCATCCGACCACTTTATCCACCTTGCGAGTATCATCTCTAGAGTTAGCTGGAGGGCGCCCTACATTTCCCTACGCAACTGTCATTAGTTCTTCACGTGACTCAATTTCACGTCAAACATGTCTAAACCACATTTAAAAAAAAACTTATATGTAGGTTTTATTAGGTACCAAAATTTTAAGGACGTTAAAATTATATTTTTATTTTAACGTCCTATTTTTATTTCGCTTCGTAATTAACATCTAAATTGAATGATTTTTGACTTATTATTATGAATAAATAAATAGTAATTTAGTCATAACAAGTGTGGGAGAGCCATGCTTCGGCATCGAATCGGGTCGGCTCGACCGGAGTGCTACCACGGCCTCACAGAAGACCGGCGTGAAACAACCACAGCGTTGTGTTTCGCCGTGTGAGTGAGTAGTTAGACAATCCTTCCCGGCCCCCAATCCCTCCTCAATCCCTAAATCTCCAAATCCCTAATCGCTAAAAGGTCGGCAACGCACTCGTAACTCCTCCGTTGCGGGTGTCCATGGGCGACGCTGATTACTTACCATCAGGTAATCCATCTGCTCGTTTGCCGACTTATTACATAAAAAAAAATATAAATGGTAGATAAATGGCATAAAAGGATTTAAGAGGTATCTATTTTTGAGTTTTCGTTTCTATGCTTATGGGTAATACTAAGTAGATATCTGGCTACGCCGAACAAAGTACCTATTAAGTAGGTACAGCTTTTAAACTTAGGTGATTTTTATTGTTTCACTTAGGAAACATGTGATTATTAAAAATTGACTTTTACTTCATTAATAAAACAGTAAATTAGTAGATAATAAGAAGTAATTCAGAGATATGTCGATATATTTGTTCTTCTGTAAAGAGTACCTAGTTTTGTTTGGATTCCCATTTCTACATACCTACATTTGTATGTATTCGGCAAAAAGTATTGTTTCGTGGACAAAATGCTAAAATGGTTTTTTTTTGTAAGCCTAACGTTGATTATAAAAAATATATTTCGTTTTTGTTTTATTTGATTTAAGAGGAAAAAAAATACCAAAATCGTATAAAGTAATAGTATTGAGATTCTGAAAAATTAAATGAGGTCATCAGCTTTAATTCTGACCGTACAAAGTAGGGTTAACTTCTCCCATGGCTCACAAACATAAGTACGTCAATCGTTCTTGGCATGCCGAGAGTTAATTTATTTAGCAATAATTACGATAACCTGACCCATGCCTACGTAATGGTTTTCCTGATTTCTGGCTTTGTCTTGGGAGGTGACTCACTATTCCAGACAGCTCTTGTGACAGCACTCCACGTTTTTTATCGCGAGGCGTCGTTGTAACTTTCATGACATAGGATTGGCATTCAGACACGCTGCGTGCTACTTCTCTCGTAGTCCTCCCTTAAGTAATATTCTTAGTAAAACTTATAAATCCTCGGTATTATTTGAATGAACAAAAATGAGAAGCAGTAACTAATCTTTTGGTTCAGATTTCTAATGGAATGTAACCGAGGATTTGTATTTTAAAATGTTTTAAATATACGAACAAACTCAAATCAAAATTTGAATACGTTTTATTTTATCCAAACGATTTCGTATAAATTATTAAAGTGACCTCAATTTTTTTATTTATGTAGACTATCGTTTGTGTGAATGACTGTTTAAACTTCATTTACCTATTTTCTCTTGTAAATAATTATAAGTATTAACATCATTAATTAATTGATACGGAAGCCGGTATATTTCGGCAATATTCTTATTTCCTAACCACAACAGATCTCATCGTAGTACTTACCTACTTGTTTATTTTAACTAAAGTGACGTTTGAACATGAATGTTGCTAACGAAATAAACTAGTAGTTATTGGTAGAAATAAATTAAAAATGAAGAAAAGTGAAAAAGCGGCAATTCCATTGAATTATAGATAAATTTAGCACCAAAATAGTGAAGAATTATAAAAAAAAACGTTTTTTTATTAACATCTGTTTTTATTTTATTTACTGGTTTCATACGGAATAAATTCAACTTGGATTTGGTACAAGAATATTTTTTTGAATAAAAAATGGTGTAGTTATATGAATTACAAGATTTGGTTTTTTTCTGAGACTTTGCCAAGTTCACTCCAAGTTTTTAAATTTTGTATTTGCAGTAACTACGGCCATCAAACTTTTCGGTGGCCATAAAATAGAGAAAAATCAAATCCATATGATAGATTTTCGCCTTTAGACAAAAAAATTAACACAAAATTTCAAAAAATCATAATTTATATATTTATTCTGATAGCATAATCTTCAATATTTATATGGTTATTTATTTCCAACAAAAATCGAGTTTGTAGGGCTGGATCAAAGTCGTGATAAATGTTGACATTCAATATGGCGGTATGTCGTCAGTGCTATGCTGTGTCGTGGTGAGATTTGATTATTTTATAGTTTTGTATTTATTTCCTTTCAAATACAAATGATTACCGTCAGTAAAACACCCAACGATCACGCTTTACATATGTGATATACTATTTGCACCAACGGAAGTAGCTTTATGAGTTAAGTCTTGTCTCACGGCTTTGTAATTTTTACCCATCGTATTCGTTTCGTTCTATCGGACGACCGATGCCTACCTAGATATTAATATTAAAATGTAGCGATGATCCAACGCAACGCTTTGTTGTAATTCGACGCATTTGGAACTAATAAGATTTGTTTTTTGATGTAGTAACGATTGTAATTTAGAGACTAACGTAAGTGTCTATTACAGCTTGTGAATATCGAGTTAAACACGTATAGATAGCAACAGAGTTATACGAATCTACCTTCATCCAAGCTAATGTACCACGAGCTCCGACTCAGCAAGCATTGAAGACATCTGAGGATTTAGCATAACATAATCATAAGTAGTTTTTATTTTGCAACATTAGTGGTTTTGGTGTATAAATTGTGACTTTTACGTTAAAGACTTCATAGTGTTCAAATGAACACAAAAGACTAAAAGAAAATGTGATTTGATGTAAAAATTTGTAACCTCTACGGAAACTTAACACCACACAACATTCTGTGATATATATCGGTACCGTAGGTACTGAAATTTTCGACCTGTATACAAGGAAGCTACAGAAGACCAAGAATGTCCAATCCTCAGTGGAAGATGTTCCAACCGCCCGAAACACACTCATCACCCTTGCAAGACATTTTAGATCTCCAGCATTCTAATATGCAGCCCAAAGCATCATACCGTAATGGTGAGTGCATACTCATACACTACTGCATGTATTGCTTGCTTGTTGTGTTGACATTGACATTTGTATCAATTGATGTCACAGGAACTGCTGGTATTCATCTTTTTATTAACTGCTGTGCTCTGCTATAAATGGTTTATAACTATAGAATTGTTATGTGCACTTTAACTGCTTCTAGTTTTGAATAGTAGGTATCTCTTTAGAATTTGTGTCACCTTTGGTTGAGTTTCTATCTTTACATCAACTTTATAATATGTAAAGTTATGCACATTTACAATCTGAAGGTTTTATTGTGGAACAGGATGCCCGTTGGGAATTTTTATTTTGGAGGTACAGTTTCTTTTCACATTACCTGCTTGACTACTGCAATATAATTTTTCATATTTTATTGTTGAGAATGAAATTGTAATGTTCTTAATATAATTAAATAAATAAATAAGCTATGGTCAATCTCTCATGTGCTATGGCATGGAACTAAATAATTTGAGGCAAATATCATTATTTTCAGTTATACTGTAAAATATATAATAGAATTTAATTTCAATATGATGAATGATTGTTGTGCATTATCAAAACAAAATAGATTCATATAAGACTGCTATACTGCAATAAAACAATTCCTCCTAACAATAAAAATGAAAAGTATCAAATGAATGGTCTTGTTGAAAAAGAGCACTGTTGTCTTATTGAAATCTTATTTACAGAATCTGACAGCAGTTAGTGAGATTTCAATGAGAAGGCACCACAGTTTTTATTAATACATTTTATTTTTGGTTTATGTGTTTATGGTAATGATTTTAATTTAAAATCCATTAATTTCTTAAAGACATCTACAACTTTAAAGCCAGATGACATATTTCTCATGTCTTGAATTGGTACAACTCCTGCCTGTAAAAGTTTGAGGAACCACATATCTATTGTGTGTGCATAACAATCAAATGATGGTTATATACACACAATAAATATGCGAACATACTAATCATAATATTTATGACCATCCTTCAAGAATAGGAATAATATTAATTTAGCTCTCTGAAAAAAATATACATTACCTAAAGAATATATTATTATCTTTCAGTAAGTAACCCACAGTACATTTTTATAAGTATTGTTGTATGTACAAGTTGTACATTAACTGGGTTAACATGAGATTAATGTATTTGTCTGTTAATTAAATTAATATCAGGCTTTAAATGACTGTACACAACTCATAAAAATACCATAAGGTTATATAAACAAACAATTATTTAAAAAAACCTCATTAGTTATTGCACTTGTAGAAGTAGTAATGTAATAGTATTGTGCTAGTAACAATTGCAATTATTTTAGTTTCAATCCTCATTACATGATTATCATTAATTCTTCTTACTATTCATGTAATGAGTTACATGATCTATCTAAGTATTGATCCTCATGTTATACCTTGATACTAGCCGTGCCATTATTTATTAACATAAATTGTAGTTAGCTTCGATTTGCTATAATTGGAGCATTTAAAATTATAAAATTGCTAACCAATGTTGTAATCATACAGTAATCATTTTATAAAAAAGTCATAAATTATGACCCATAATTTTCTTTTGTTATTAGGTGAGTACCCAAGTTCACCAAGGGATAATTACAACGGTCAATCAAAGACTGGTGGTGGAAACCGCTTCTCTCTTGGTTACAATATTGATGGCTGTCCAATGGGCGACTCAGTTTATTCCTCTGGCTCTACTAACAATTCCTCGTCTCAACAATATGACTCAATGAATCACCCACCTATCAGAGAGACCGGCATTATTGAAAAACTTTTGCACTCCTATGGATTTATTCAGTGCTGTGAGAGACAGGCTCGGCTGTTCTTTCACTTCAGCCAATTTAGCGGTAATACTGAACATCTGAAGATAGGAGACCCTGTTGAGTTTGAGATGACATATGACCGTCGCACTGGAAAGCCAATAGCTTCAACGGTGACTAAGATCGCACCTGAAGTGGTAATATACTTTACTAATGGTTTTTATATTATATTGGTAATGAAAGAACTGTTTGTAATTTTGTTTCTATTTCATTTAAGGTGTTGAGCGAAGCCCGTGTTACCGGGACAGTGACTACAGAAGTAAAGGGAGAAGGTTCTGGGGACAATACTGGAAGAATTTCGTATGAAAATCGTGGTGAATGCTTCTTCTTACCTTATACTAAAGACGACGTTGAGGGTAATGTCACTTTGCGCACTGGTGACGCTGTCAGTTTCCAAATAGCAACAAATCAGCGGTAAGTGGCGATTCTGTACAATTATTTCATTTGATATTAGATGTGTCTAATAATGGTCATAACATTGTAGAGGAACGTTGGGAGCGTGTCATGTCCGCTTTGAAAATCCCGTGCATCCTGTCAAATATCACGGAGTGGTTTGTTCCATGAAGGAAAACTTCGGTTTCATTGAACGTGCAGATGTAGTGAAAGAGATATTCTTCCATTATTCGGAAGCTAAGACTAAAGAGGAGCTGGTTTTGGGAGATGATGTAGAATTCATCATTCAAACTAGAAACGTAAGATTTATACAAAATAAGATGTATAATATCTATAAAACGGTATTTTTTCTAATGTTTGCCATTCTTGTATAGGGAAAGGAAGTGGCTTGTAATATAACAAAATTGCCAAGCGGTTCCGTAGTGTTTGAGGATGTAAGTCCGGAGATAATGCGTGGACAAGTGTTGAAGCCATTGGAGCGCGGGTCCTTGGTGCGCGTGGCTCAAAACGATCCCCTGCCTGGCCGCATCAGATACCGAGCAGCTGACCACTCTGAAGTAGAGGTACGCACTTGTACTGTATCAATATGAAGAAAATAAACAACTAGAGATCATCAAATGTTTCAGACTTATGTTTGTTGTGTATTATATTCCCAAGTAATCTCAAAACAAATACTAAAATTTTTATTTTGACCCATTGAATGGATCAAACCTCTTAGAAATTAATAGTGACGTCGCGGCCTTAGCTGGATATGTTGCAGTTTTGCTCTCTATATTTTGCTGACATTAGGCTGATTAATTTGGATTTTTTTAAGAGACTTTCCAATATTTGTTTTTGAACGCAAGGCTGTGTTCTTTACCAAAAGTGACATGGATTTTATTCCAAACTGAGTATTATTTTTATAAACACTCAGTCTCAATATTCTTTATAGAGTAGGCTTTATGGGTAGGGGATAATAATTGACAAGACAGAGGAATTGTAGGTTCCTACATGTGATATTTTTAATATTTAAGCCTTGAAACATCATGTTTTATTTTTTAATTTGGTCACAAATAAGAAGCCGCTTTGCTAGCATATTCATGTGGGTAATGCAATTTGTATAATTGTTTAATTTAAAAATACAAGCCGATTCCAGTTAACATGTTTCGACGAATTAAGCAAAACATTTATATTTACCAGATAGTGTGATAAAATGAATATAATAAAAAACTTTGTATGCAAACAATGTGTGTATGCAGCCAACAAATTGAGTTGCTTAGGCTTACATTAAAAAACATATCGAATGTGGTAATAAGAAGTCTTTGTTTAAACAGGTACCTTTTGGAGACAAAGACCAATGTGGCGAGTTCACTCTTCGCCATGGGGATTGGGTACAGTTTCAAGTCGCTACAGATCGCAGGGATCAGTTAAAACGTGCCACAAACATCTCATTGTTAGATGAATCATTCAATGTTTCTGGTGAACGGTAAGGAAACTTCTTTCAAAAGGAAATTTTTACCATTAGTTTTAAAATAATTAAAGACAAGTTTCAATTTGTTTATACATAAAGTATGTTTTAGATATTGTTGCTTTGAAATACTGATTGTGATATTTTTAACCAATTTCGTAGGAGGGAGCAAGGAGTAGTATGCTCTTTGAGAGATGGTTTTGGATTTATTCGTTGTGTTGAGAGGGAACAAACTATGTTCTTCCACTTCGCTGAAGTACTTCGTCTTGGTCAAGAACTCAGTGTAGGTGATGAGGTGAGTGTTTTAAGTTTTTTTCTAGCTATTAATTTAAATATATTTTAATGTATTATAATCAACATTATCTTTACAGGTGGAGTTTACAGTAGACCCATTGAGTACATTCTCAAATATGAACAATCGCCAATCTGGCATCCGCATCAAGCACCTGCCGCCTGGAACTGTAAAGTTCGAAACTCTGATTGAGCATGGCGCCCGCGGCGTTGTCACCAAGGAGGCTCAGCAATATCCGTCTTCCACTTCCAGCAGTTCCAGCCCATCTCGGCCCCCACCATCGGTAAGTACACAGCACTATATGAGTTACGTTTATATGAGTATGATTATATATTGTATTTACTATGTAAGTATTTCTATTGTATATCTGTCATTGTTTATCCATACTTCATAAACAACCACTTCATTGCTTTTTTCCCCTCATACATTTTGCCCAGTGCTAAGTTTTGCAATCATTAGATGAAGTCCCGATTTAGGAGGGGAGTTTCCTCCTAAGTCGTGACTTCATTCTACCCATTATCCATAACACTGCATCTTTCGATCTAAAAGTTAGACATATTAGATGACCCAGCACAAGTATGGCCTAATTTGGAAATTTTAGTAAACTTAGTACTTAAATCCCTTAACACAATCAGCAACAGGTTTTGAATTAGTTTAGTGTGGTGCAAACTGCATTGTTAGCAAAGTAGAAACAGTCAGATTTTTTGAATACTTGCAAAAATCTGTCTTTCAAAGTAGAAACAGTTAGATTTTTTGAATACTTGGAGAAATGTGCCAACACTTATTTTGTTATTTTCACTGCCCGAAAGGGAGCCCATGTTCAGCGTGTGGCACTTCCACCTGTGAAATTAATTTGTTACATAGGGTTTAAAGATTTGACTACACAAAATTATACTTCTATTATATTTATCTATTGTATGTATACCTCCCAAAATTGTTTTAATATTTATAAAGTTATTACTTTTCAAGTTTGATAATAGTTATAGTTATTTTTAATAAATGGGACTGCAAACAGTTTACCTTTATTATAAAAGCTATTGAACCAGTGTGACAATATATAATTACGTAGTTGTTATAATATTAAATAGTAGATACTTTCATAATATTTGTGCAGAAAATAATTTCGTATCATGTTGTGCGAATTAAGCATCAAAAAAAAAAAATATATATCGCGAATAAACAAATTTGTTTTAAGGTTTCGATATCATTGGCAGGCATTGTAAAGGTAGCATTATTTAAATAGCTACCTATTGACCGAATGATTTTGTTTAAATTCATGTCGAGGTAACAACTCAACAAGTATGTAATAAATGTAATATTATGATAATTTTGCTTCTTCTCAAACTAATAATGGTATATCTCAGTCAAATGTATCTTTGTTCTATGATTCGGGACATTCGATAGTTTCACAAACTTGGTTCTATCCGTTTTGTCTGTTAAATTTTCCAAAGCTGCAAAAACGGAAACTGAATAAACAACAAACGCTTTTGCGTAATCTTCGAAGGCTTTGTAAATTGGTAAGTTTCTAACTTATCCAAATGTGTTTATGGTACTTTCGCAAATAGACCTATATTGGTCACTGTTGTAAAACAACACTAAGTTCGCGTACTGGATGTTTGTATTTCGATGGTCGTGATAAACTGGTTGGTACATGCATGCTCCTTGTTGGTATGTAGGCATTGATGTTAGATTTCTTCCTTCACAGGAAACTCTTAAACTTTACAGTCATGACAATATCGTTCAATAAAATGTCCTAATTATGAGTGGCATGGTACATACATACTTGTTCTGCTTTAAAGTACAAGTAGGCTTTAAATTATCGTATGGCACTTAACATCCTTTATGTTTTTAACTGTAATTACTTTAGTTGATATTTCTATGATACTAATGTTACCTATGAATCCTTAAACAGGAATACAATGGCTTGATTAGTTGGCAAGTAAACCAACAGACAAAGAAATCAATTCCATTCTCAGCGAAAAAATGTGAATCCAAGATGCTGCCGCGTAACGGCGACGTTGTTACTTTTGACTTATACCAGGTATGTCTTTTTATAAATAAAGTTAAATAATTATGCATATGTGGCTAAATCAAACATTATCGGCTTGAGTTTAAGAAAATAAAATTATTTGTATGATGTGTAAATAACTAATATATTTCATGACATTAACAGATAAAGCGAACAAAAGAGTTGGTGGCCAAGTCGGTACAAGTACAGCATAGTCTTACCAATGGGAATAACAACAATGGCTCCGGCAATCGGCCTCTTATGCAAGGCTTTATTGCTGCTCTCAAAGATGGATTCGGTTTCATTGAAACTTCGGACCATTCAAAAGAAGTATTCTTTCATTTTAGGTGAGTTGTGTATTGCTTATTAATTATTGTTTCATACAATACTATTTTAACTCGATCTATCACACTTCATTGCTTGCGTTGAATTTTTTTGTAATGAAATATTTTTTTACACGTTAAAAATCCTTAAATATAAGTAGATACAACTACTAAAAGGTAAAATTGTCTCAACACTAAATGTGTATGCAAGTTCGTTTTACACCATTTTACATTTTACGATTCCATGCATTGCATCTGAAAAGACATACCTAATTTGAAATATTAAATATCTGTATGACGGATAATTAATTTGATTTTTTTTACATTTAGTTTAATAACAAATCAAAGGGGAGAGTATTTTTTATTTTATTTATGTGTTTAAACGTAACGAACTTAATTTTGATAGGTGTAATTTTCTATAAAGAAAAAATATTGTTTTTGTGTGTTAATCTTTTCTGGCTGCACATAAACATTGTTTGTGTGTCAAAAAGGTCAACGATTTCTAGAAATTCATGCGCATATATTCAGACGGAGCGGAACTTAACGGAACTCCATTACAATGTTATCTTTATTCCATGTTGACGATTTGCTTTAGTTGCTCTTTAAAGTTATCCTTTTATGTAGGTAAAAATATATACCTACTATTTGAATGCACATTGTAATGGTAATGTGTGAGTTGTGTATTATTTTTGGTTTTGTTACTTACATAGGCCTTGGCGAATCTAAATGTTATTATTACTCGCTAAGCGATTGCTTTGTTTGCGGTTTCGGTTCTGCTAAATTTGGTTTTGCTAAAAGCTGCGACTGCTGAGAATATTTGAGATTTTTATTTGGAAGATAAAATTAACGGAACGTAAGTTGGATTTGGCATAATATACATTGAAATTTGAAATGTATATTATGTTATATAGTTATATAATACAAAAAAAAGTTAAAAAAAGAAGTTGAAAAAAAGCCCAAGCTGGTACAAAAAACTACAGTACTACTAACTACTACTTCTAACTGCTGAATGTATACTGATTACATTCTCGAGCCGCGCTATGCATTGTCTGACAAATATACATACAACGTCGGTAACGTGGTAATATTACACCAGATGACTTTTATGTCAAATTTTGCTGCTGTTTATTCAATTTTAATGCAATTGTACGGTCCGTGTGACTGGATAAGCGAATTTGTTATCGACAAAAACCTAGGAATTTATAGTCGGTACATGTATAAATGTTCGGGTTATAACTACGTTCGCGATACTATTCTATGTTATTGTCTGTATAAGCCAGGCGACAATTTTCATTACTTTGTCATTTCTGACAAGAGGTGAGACTGATGTAGTTTAAAAATAAATTCAAAGATTTTATAAGGGTTTTTTTGAGATATTTTCGAGTTTTCCCGTATAATTTTGTCTCACCCGGGGTAGGAATTCAAACCTGTGGGTCACTCGTACTTGATTGAGACCAGCTGACCTTAATAGTAAATGCCAAGCATTAATTTGGTTTTGGTACTTCATTATGGTAGGTCAACTTTTTATTATAGTGGTTTCTGAAATTTCATGACTTGCTTTTGAGATTTATTCTTAAGTTACTTTGACATAAAAAAAATACCTGCCCTTAGAAAAATAAGCAGTGTTAAGGTTCTATTGTTGACGCTCAATTTATTCGCAAAAGATGCAAAGCGGGGGCGCGAGGGTATTTAGAATCACCATGTCAAGTAAATATTGTATCTCATTTCAATTTATATTACTTATCCGTAAATATAGATAGTCCTACTGTGAGTATATTTATATTATGATAGATAAACCGTATCATCAGAATCAGTTTACATTCAAAGAATCGTATTAATTGTTTGCTACTACTTTGCTTTGCGTATTGTACCAAACGCCTGTGCCTTTGCTGCTATCTTACTTCCTACCATGTTAGTGCTTAATCTTAGCTTTTGCGAAAAGCACGTGTGCAGCTGCGTATTATAATAATGATGGTTACTTTTATATGTTCAATTTGAAATATTTGCAATTAACGTACAAACGTTTGGGGGCCTCGGTCTTGCATATGAATGAGTTCGAGCAATATGCAAAGATCCGAAAAAATAATTGCTTTTGTATTGCTTACAGTAATTTGGAAGGCAATCCAGATGGCCTGGAATTAGGCTGTGAGGTTGAGTATACTTTGGGACGAGTGAACGGGTCTGGCGGTGGGTGCGCGAGTGCTGAGTACGTGCGGGTGTTACCTCGCGGCTCTGTGCCCATCGCGAAACCGCTTGACCCGACACTCAACGGAACGGTCACCAGGACTCTACGGGCTTTGAATCCCGACCAAGCCCACTATTCCGGTAATTGAGAAGTAAAACAATTTTTAATAACATTATTGAAACTGTGAAAGTGATGTCTGAGCAGACGAGAACCAATAAATGACCCCAGTATCAATAATACAATGTGTTAGATTGCCAGTAGCGTAGCATTTGCTTACAGTTTACTAGTTAGAACTAGTGGATATAGTTGTGAACTTGATATCACTTCATTCAATTACTACAACTAGTGCGGCCATCCGCTGCAATCACTTATATGGATTTGATTATGTTTGATATACATTTTACGTTATAGGTATTTTGTGCGTTTTTTTTTTGTTATTCGACTTGTTGCGTAGTGTGAGTAGTCATAACTAGTCAGGTCGTAATTAATATACAATTATTATTTAGAAATATGATTGTGGAGTTCTTAGCTCGTAAACTTTAATAATAGTAAATCATTTATCTCCAGGACTGATCCAAGTAGAAGGTGGCACCTCGTATGAGTTCGGTATAATGGGATTGGCGTGCAAGCGTGAAATACTACAGGTCGGCGACCCAGTCACTTTCCAGGCCGACGTAGAGGGGCGAGCTACAAACATTGTGCCAATTAGGAAGAAGAGGCGTGCCACTGTTGACGCTATTAAAGGTAATCGAATAGGATTGAATCCGTTTAATGTGTTTGAACATATATTTGCTAATATCGTTGAGGAAAATATTCAATTGGTCGTTGTTTTTTCAGGAGGATTTGGTTTCCTGTCTCTGGAGGCTGAAGACAATCGTCGTCTATTTTTCCACATGTCAGAAGTCCGTGGTAATCCTGCAGAGCTACAGCCCGGTGATGTGGTCGAGTTTGTAATGCTGACCAACCCTAGGAATGGCAAGTCATCCGCTTGCAACGTCGTAAGAATTGGGTAAGTGAATTTCAGATTCACTGAAAACTTAGATTGCATTAAAATATGAAAACTTAAGAAAATGGGTGGGGAAAAAGTTTATCGAGTGCAAGCCATGCACGCGGAGCCTAGGTCTCCGACTGCCACATACCAAGAGGTCGATATATGACCCAATGGAGGTCACAGGGAGACACTTAATTCATGACTTTTTGCCGTGCGATTTGTAACAAGTAAACCGATGATAATATCTTTATTATCGTGGGAGGTGGCTAGTTTACTTAGGACTGATTTTTTAATAGTCAGATAAATGTTATCTGAGGAATAAAATTATTGCTGTCACTGTCTTACACAAACATTCTGACGCGACAGCGTAATAATTATTCCTAAGGTAACTTTTATCTGACCGTTGAAAACTCAGCCCTATACAACTGAAAGTTATTTAGACGTTTCAATACATTTATCCTATCGATAAATTTCATTTTTGATATTTTTTTATTATGCTGTTTGACGCACAAATATTAAGTCATAAGTTGCTATTTCAAAAAAAATTTAACAGAAAATTCTTGACATATGAATAAAAGTATTCAATTTTACCAGTTGGAAATTTTGTATTTTCCTACTAATAGTTAAAATTATTATTTTTATATTACAGTGGCAAAGGTTTCGCGGGGGGCAAGACCAGATGCGAACGTCCGGAGCGTCTGTTGGCGCGGCTTCGTACAGCCTCGCTCGAGGATTCTAATGGGCCACGGGTAGTCGTGTTACGCGCCCCTCGTGGTCCTGATGGTACTCGTGGTTTCCGCCCACGTCGACCTATCGCAGGTAAATAAACAATTTGATAAATACTATTTCATTGCATAAGGCGGAAAACAACCAGACGAAATCAATGCTACCTACAGACACGTGCAACACAATAGAAGTTATTGTTATCGTAGCCTTTACAGGATTGGGTAATTGAAGATTCGCCATATGCAGGGAGGGTTTGGCCTTTGGTACCCAAGTAATACTAAATTCAAATTCCAACAAGTCAGTTTTATTATTTGCCAATACAATAGCCAAATACCTGCAGCAAAAACCAGCTATAACCTATGCTCAAAAATTCCGAAGATGTAATATTTTTATAGCAACTTGCGAGATGGACACCTTTTATAAGGATTTTTAATAAAAATCCACAAATAATACTCGTATGATATTAAATTGTATAGCAAGCATGATAGCATGAGTATGGTGATATTTTCTTTCATAAAACAATTGATTATCTATGCTCATGTAATTCACTTACTATTAGTCCATTCAAATTACAAACTATTTTTTTATCGTATCCTGTTGCGTCTATTCCTATATATTTGCAACCGAAACCGGCTCCCAAGTAAGCTAAAACGAGCTTATAAAAGTGCATTTTCAAACAAAACCTGATGAATCCTACTCAATAAAACAGTTTTATAAATTTCTTTAATTTTTATCTGAAGGGGATTTGTTCTTTCCAGTATTCACTTCTTCACCATTTTTGTAATGAAACTCGGCGTACAGCAAAAATAAACACGAGATAGACAATATCAGTAGTTTTTGGACGGCAACACTAGCATTAATCTGGCAACTAATATTTATGTTTGCGATCTTACCTGGTTAGCCAGCTCCTCATTTATATATAAAACGAAACCATGCGTTAAATTTAAAATATCTTTGTCTATCTATTTTTTTAGGTGTACTAGTCAATTTACTCTCTTTGCAAAAAATATTGTATGTAATTAATTGTATACTATAGAGTAGATTTTAAATTACAATTGGTTTTACTTTTTCAGAACAACTAGCTGAGTAAGATCAAGACATCAGCACTAAGGCCTCAACCATGTAGGTAAACATCTTAATGGTTTGATTTTCCACTTCAAATTTTTTCATTGTATTCATGAGAGACTGACTTATCCTCTTTTCTTTAGCAGCATTTAGGAAATTGTTTTGTTATTTTTACTAATTCTAGGTGAAAACAATAAATTATTGTCAGCTGTCATTAATACAGATCAAATACGCGTAAATATGATTGTATAACATCAATAAGCAAGGTACATATCAATTAATCAAACCAATTTGCGTTGCTTATTTTCAGTTCATTTATGTAAGAGGTTCTTTTTCGCATAGAGACGTTGTTCAAAATTCCGTTTGCACCATTCCTTGGCCAATGTAAATGTTATGGTTTGCCAAGTTCAATATGTATTTGTCTGCGTTGTCGCGACACATGCCACATGAAGTTGACGTGAGCACCGAACAGCTAGCCATCTGATTATTAACTGTTCGCTGTATTGGGATTGGCATTCAAAAACAATGTAAATATTTTATAGAAGCTAGGTATAATGTGTATAAAATGCTCATAATCAAATGAACCCGGCTAGTGTGTGAATCCATTGTCAATGAAGTATCATCAGGTAATGGTTATAACATGAATGTTGCATACACTGTCTGTCAGCTGGAAATAGATTTTCGTCGAAGCTTAGTGTGTCTAAGTTAACTGTGTAAGTAAGGTGCGTGATGAACTAATGTAATAAATTGATGGACATTTGATACACGTTGTTGCGGTTATTGTTACGTTTAGTAGATCTCTTTATGCGAAACATTCTGTGATGATGAAAATTTGTTGTGCAATAAAAAGATAAGATGTTGTCCTCACAGGACAGTGCTAGTCTCTTAGTATTATGCGATCCCCGCTCGCCACGCGTGCACTTCATATGATATGTGTCGTACACTGTGCTATTGTGATGATGGCTAACCTTAATTAACGAACAAAATATTCATTGTTAATCGGAAAAGCATTTATGCAATGAACTGGAATGGAACCAAAGACTGACTTAAAATATTTATAACAGTAATACTTATTGGTATTAGATTATTTTGATCGGCTAATTGATGTGGACCCAGGTGTTCATTGTGGCCATAGGTTTGTAACAAATGAATGTTTTCAGGAGAAATGTATTTGATTTAAATTTTTAGTTTATTAAATTATGGAATCAAAGATATCTCAGTCTGCATTCTATTTTAATATATAATGTAACAACTTATTAGTGTAGGTAAGTCCAGAACATCTACAAAGTCATGTGATGTAGCGATCTAATTTAATGTCGTTATGATCTAACATACAGCAATAACGTTTTCTAAATTATGTAACTACCTCCTATGTACATATATTATATCAAACTAACAACGACGATCCTACTTATTTGCTTGTAAAGCGGTTAGGGTACTACTACTTCGGATGTAAAGTAATAATAACTAAATTTATTGTTAGCTGCTTCTCAATTTATCAGTATCTGAATAAAATGAACTGGAAACTTTCCAGGAATTGAGAAGAAACTGCCCATTGTACCAGGAAGTGCGCTTCAACAATTTATAAGCTACAATTACATAATATTATTGTGTTATTTGTAGTGACTCCAAGAAATAAAGCAATCTTATGTATTACAAAAATAATGATGCATTATATATTGAGTACGTTTGCGGCTTGTCGATGGCGAACCTATTTTGTACATAATACTCATTGTGAGAAATCCAATTAAAAGAAATAATTTTGTGTTTGGAATTACTTAAGGAAACGCGGGTAAAACTGTGATTGATGATAGGGATCTCATTGGATGGATATAATTATATATGTGTATTATTTATGTTGCTTTATATCAAAACTTGTAATCAATAAATACTGCCTCAAGCAATTGTTTAGGTTTTTTAATTTTACATTGAAGACATAGTCATCAAGCTTAAAGTCTTAGTAGACACCCCGTAATTAACAAACCATGTATCGATGGCAATACTATGGCAGTTATTAATGGCAATACTATAAGAAGAAGCTTATCTAAAGTGTAAAGAGATATTGCTTTTACTGGTTTAATTAATTTGGCCCACTGCATCAAAGTAAAATTTTTAGTATTAAAAGTAACATTACGTTTGTTGACGCAGGTTTATTTTTCTGAGTATTATTTAATGAATTATATTACTTTTCTTATTGTCTATATTACTTTTGATTTTGAAATAGTTTTAGTTTTTGATTTTGTGTTAAATGTATCCATTGCCATCCCTATCATTGTAACGGCGATCTATCTGTAGATTCACATACGGAACTTGCAACGACGATGTGTAAAAGTGAGTTGTATTTTATATTATATAAAATAAAATCGTTTTTGGGATCGCACTTTGAATATATAGAATACAATACAGCTTATTGGATTTGCGTTGTGTGTTGGAAGTTGAGTAATGTGCTTCGTTTCTTTCCTTCATTCTTAAAAGTGTTTAGGTACTCACTGTCTCCATTGTCGCGCAATAGTTTGGATAACAAGCTATTGCAATCTCGCCTGACTAAACGCACACAACAAAAACTATAGTACATGCATAGTTTTACCTCGTGATTATTGTTAGATATAATGGTAAACACCACGTCTCCCTTAAGGACTTATGACCCTGTGATAGCTATAACAAACAAGGATATATATTGATTATAAAAAAATTAAGATGCCTTAAATAATTGAAATGTTTGAGCCTCATCACCATCTTTTGTTGAATTGTATTAATTTTGTTGTGAATTTTATAAACATTGTTCCAATTTGGAAATCGCAATAAATTTATCACAAAGAGAAAATACTTGCATCCGTTATACTTAAATAATACATATAGGTACGCTAGTGATACGGAACTTGCGAACAGTGAATAGTCAAGTTTGCTCGTGTACCTTTTTCTGTGTAGTTTGTAATATAAGGAAATTAGATTGAGACGCGAGACGATAGCGAGACTTGCGAATCCGTAAAGAAGAACAAATGTTGCACATAATTGTGTATTTACTAATCATTCGATAAAGTCGACCCTCATCTTCTGCTTGAGTAAATGATAGCTTGGTGAAACACAATGCCGCGTGACAAATCAGATTTAGTGCCCATTTCACTGTACTATGGGTGTTTGTTCCTAATAAATGATAATTCATGCGAATATGGTTTAAGCGTCGCCTCGCCTCGCCAAGAATGGATGACATACCAGTTGAAAGGATTCGATATTTTGTATTTTGGTGCCTTTCCATTCAGCAATAACTACTAAAACAACAATTTATTCTTCCTTGAATGTTTTAACATTATACGTACCTTTTAACTTCATTCATCTTTGGTGATGCGTTTAGCCAATAATAACATATAAATCACGCAGGGCATGTGAAATTTATTATAAGTATCACTAGATAGACCGCATAACTTACTCAAAATTACAAGAAGCAATTTATTTATCATCTTATGATAAAAAAATACTTGAATAATTTCTACTGACAAAATTATGTAATTTATTATTTATGATTGGCATCGTTCTTAGATTTGATATTGGCAGATATTATAATTTTGTTAATGGGTAATGAAGTCAGTTCGAAAATAGGCTTAGATGATATGAACTTTACTTTCAAAGTGATGACTTGGCTGTGAGTTTGAATGAAATTTTGTTACGTGTATAAATTGAAGCTCTCAACGCGATAACTTACGGTTGTTTGCGACTTATACGGTCGACATTTTGTACTCCGCTTCTACGGCCTTGCAGTAACTGTGCTTGCTTTGGACACAAGTCCATTAAACAACGATTGTAATATGCACCGTAAATTTTTAGATGTCTTACAACTACATCTCAGTTTATATTTGCAATGGATAAATGAAGTGGGTTGCCGTAGTAAGACGAGAAACACAGAGTATATCACAAGTTTTCGTCGGCATTTCGGAGTATTATTTTATAATATTTTTGTATAGTAAGGAAGCATCAGTCATCGATTTTTTAAGTCTTCCAATATGCTAATCTATTTCTTATTATGACTACCAAGTTTGTATCTCTAATATATATTTTTTTACTGTGACTATTTATATCCATGTTTTTATCTACCATCAAATCTATGAACGACTAAATAATACCAAATATCAGCATTTCTGAAATCATCTGTAATAGAAACACTTTTGTGGACTGACATTCGATTAAGCAATAAAATAATGTGTTCACATGTAAATGTACGGAGCGCAAATCAGCTTTCGTGGACGTAGTGCACCCTAGTGTATACATGTTACGGTTTGATGTTGTCTACAAGATAGTTTACGGGGTGTAGGAACCTGCTTCTGTACGCCATTCTTCTCTCAAGGGCCTGTTTCAACACTGCCGAAGAATTTTTTCGTAGCCTGATTGGCACCATTCTTCAAAAAATGTGACACATTAGCTTATCTGAAATTTTACCAGAAATGGTGAATCAGGGCAGTAAGGTAACCCTTTTGTGCAAGTCATTCTAATAGATACAACATGTTTCTCCAGGTCTATCAAAAGATGTCTGTACACAATATACATGACGTTCTGATAGTGTTGAATAGACTTTATGGCTTACTCAATTGAAAAAGTGCAAGTAATTTGATATCCAGAGCGAGGTTATGTAGCAAAGTGGGGGGGTAGCAAATGAATAGGAGTATTTTATTTTCGAAATCAGCTGTTACTTAGTCCTGAATTCTTAATTCAAGATGGTAGGATCAAATAAGCCTGTGAGTTTAGTTTAACTTCTTTTCCTCGTCGAAAAGAAACCATTTAATAAATTTGGAGCCTGAAAATTATAATAAAAATAAGACGAATTACCCAAGAACACAACGGATCGACTCTCTTAAACATATATCTGTCCCAGTGCGCTAAAATCTTTTTTCCTGTTGTAGATCTTGGGTAATCTATTGAAGTTTACTAGGTACACCTGGGGAGAGCCCAGGGGTCTTGGTAAAAATAAAGTAGGCCTCACAGGAGCAGCTATTGCACCCCGTTCGGCTAGCATCATAATGTTCTCACTATTTTTACGATTGTACTATCAGAATTCTTGGATGTTTAGTATAATCTTGGTAATTACGGATATGATAGACGTTATATTTAATGACGATGACAATTTGACATCTCGAAAGTTCGGCCGCGTGATCACGTAGATCATACATAGTTGTATTTAATAAATAAGGCATTGTAGACTAATTGTTTAGGACTTGCATCTTTTCTCGAGAGCAATAATTACTCAAGTATGTTACATCTATTCGTTGCTATTAATACGGTATCATGAATAAGTAATCGGTATGTAGCTATAGTGTCTGTGCGGAACTTGTTTATTGGAAATATGTACATAGTTAGGACGGCGTCGGCAATTCGTTGATTGTGCGACTCCTCGGTGTCAAATTGTCGCCCAGAACTAATTACGAGTACTTTTAAGTGCTTACGCTTTTTTAATATGTAATCCCAAAGAAAATAGGAATTTTGAACAAACGTTATATGCTTTACGCTTAAAACCACAGTCTTTATTATACTGTATCAAATATAATAATATGTATGCCCATGTAACCAATATAATAGTCATAGTGAAAATGATGTAATAAATAATCGAAATATTTGATGTTGTAGTGTATGGAACTTAAGCCCCGGATCATTTCGGGTATAGGTATTATTATAAACTAGTCTTAAACATTTGGTTTAGTCCCATCTCAGCACCTTCCCGTCTTAGCACTTATTAATTTATTTTTCATGCCTGCGAAACGGCATCTACCTACAATCATTGTTAGGTACCTACATATAAAAGTGGAGACAGTGTCAGTATAGTCAGTAAACCAACTTTCACAGGCATATACTATTTGTACAAAATGTAGATTTTTCATATGCCATTTTTAGGATTTATTACTTTAACAGTAATAAGCAGAGAACTAAGGCCCTTTTCATTGAACGATCAGAACGCCTGTGAATGTTCTAGAAATACCTTGATTTTGACCACCTTATTATTCTAAAAAAAGTTATTTTTGTAACAGATATTAATTTTGACTAGTTGTCGTTTCTTTATATTTAAGTACCTAAGGGGAGGGCGCCGGGGGGAATTTGTTTTCATAGGCATAATAAATAAATTCTTGGACATCGAGATGGCAAAATGCTGAGATGGGACTAAACCAAACATTTACGCCCGGGCGCCTGTCACGAGCAGATGTATTTTTAAGCTAAACGGCTAACAAATATGAGATCTGATAAGGAAAACTTCATTTCTTCCTTAACCATCGAAAGTTTCAGTGTAGCTACGAATTTGGCGAACCAGTAAAATGTAATCAGTGCCTAAAAGAACCTCTGGGAGATGAAAAACCAAACAAAATGTGAAATTATTTAAGCATTTCAGAAATTACAAACTTTGATTAATCATAAGAGTTTATTTTTATTTAATTCTTCGATTGTATTCTGTAGACAACTATCTATGCCAAATGTTTATACAGCCCTGTACATTTTTAATAATTGTGATTAAAACAATGTACACCACCTTAATCGCGTTGTAATACCTTAATTTGTATGTCCGTATTCCACAACCACAAAAAATCCTTCAGTAAACTATTTATTACCTGTTTGCTAAACATAGGCATCACATCCCTAATTTGCAAAATAATTACAAGATTGGGCTAAAAAGTTATTAATTAACAGTAAGCATCACTTATTAGATTTTTTTTAACATACCGAAATATGATTGTTATATTATATATTCAAATGCGTAGTTTCTAACTAGTCAAATTCAATAGTTTTCTGAAATGTCGAAAACGACAAGTTTTATGATTTTTGTATTAAATAGCAATATGTAACGTCATATTTATCTAAAACTATTTTAGTTATATTATGTAGAAATGGAATGAATGAAGGTGTGTTAATCAGTATTTTTATTGTATTGTTATTCAGACTGAAGAAACTACCCAGTTGACTTAGTCTGACACCAAATTGTATGTAAGTAGGTTCTCTCGTCATATAATTATAAAATGGGTAGTTCTCACTTAAAACTCTTATGTGTACGCCCAGCGTGCCCCAGGAATGATATAATAAAGAAAAATAATTTGTATATGTACTCAAGGTTGCGGTTGGAGATTATCTTGGGACATCGAAGCACAAGAGAATTACAGATGAATGTTTTATTCGATAGTAAGTATTACGGAGACCAGAAACAGATGCAGTAAAACCACATGCAGTAGTATACGTAGTCGGTCTATTAGCAGGAGGTTTGAAACGCCGATACAAGTCAAGAATTTAATGTTTAATGATATGACTATATTTATTATTGAAAATATATGACATAAAATATTACCGCTCTTTGCGTAATATTTTACCTGGAACAGTGAACTCAACAACTAGTAAGTACACATGTTTGAGGAATGGCATTAATGAGACACCAATTTGAATTATTCTTTTTATTAAAAACTGTATAAAATATAACATACTTATCATCTATCACCCACGGGACGGTCTAAGGTTATCTGGGATCGCCGATTGTCACAGTTGACTTATTATATCTACTGGTTCATAAGGTTCACACACTTATTACATAATATAACATTTCAATACAATTTGAAAACCTAAAAATTATATTAACAATGAATTTTTAATAATATTTTATTTTATATATAACTTGACTTAAATGTATTACAAACTTGAGTTGCTCATAAATTGTAATTGCATAGTATATGGGTACAACTAGTAAAATCCAACTCTTTTCGAATCTACAGTTTTCTTTAAATTTTGTGCAGTAGTGGTTTTTGACATTGTTTTATTTGCATTATACATTTATCATAACATTCTTGAAAATTCTAGGCAATAACATAACAAAAATAATGAATGAAAGCGTGATTATTGTTTTAATGTATTGAATTGTCGATTTATTAAACATTTTTAAAGCTAAAGTATCTAGTAAAATGTTTGTAGCATTGCAGATGTGCATTTCTGGATTAATGGGGGATATAATATCACCCATTATTATATGTATTGAATACAAAAAATACTAGGGATACATATTTCGTTAAGTGAACAAAAGATTTAAAATATTTTGTTACTTACAATTTATCATTTTTGGCAATTAGTAGAATTTGCTTCGCTATATCTATGTGTAATTTTATCACACTAGCAACGTCACATTTCCCAAGATAATTATATTTTACTTATATCCATCGAGAGCCTCTTTGTGATGGTAAGCGATGTTCACAATAATTGTTAATATTAATTTAAAACAGTCTAATGTATGTATGAACTTATACATAACAATACTTATAACGAATTGTAACGTTATCCCTAATTACTATACCTACTATAGGTACAAACTATAATAATACCTTTTTCGACACGTAGCTTATTATTTTTATTCTTTTAAAAAACGAAGCCTAATGGAATACTAATACCACATAATAAAACTAAGGGATTAGCTACTATATAGAATAAAAAGTCTTCACAGAGTACAGAGTCAGAACCTTCAGGGTTTTGTAAAGTTGAGTTAGTTAGTGACATTGCATTATGTTCATGTTTTACCTATATCAATTTATTTTAAAAGGTATTTCACTTCGACCTGTTCGTAAAGTTATTGTTTTCGATATGTTTTTACGCTATGCTCACTCTCCATAACACGGGATGAGAATGAAACTTACATAGGTACTAGTGGCAACTGCATGTGAACTGTATATGTACCTACCTCTGCATGTCCCATTCATAACCGTCGGTCCAAAAATAAATTTGGTTCCTAAAAAAGCACTAAATATATTGTTAAAGTCCATCCTGGCAACATGATACGTCTTTGACTTGTCACAAATTGTTCTTGCTCTACCTATTTCTGGGAAACCACGTGTACAGACATCTCTTAAATATTGTATAGATTCAAACATCGTTCGTTATCTAAGTCGCTCTGTCTCATAACAGTGTGGTCGTCTCATTTACATCTGAATCCAGTATAGTTCTGAGGGTAGAAGTTGTGGTTGGTGGCGCCCTGTTATAAATTTCTTCACAAGTCATGCCTTTAAAAGTGTTATTATGGGCGTAATGAGGCCATTTTTGTATCTGTTTGTATAGATTGGCCCCAGGACTGTAAGAAGATCGCAGATCTTTAGCTCCGACGACACGGTAGTCCTTGTCCAAATATCCATGCTCAACACCCTTTTCGAGCAACATTAATGCTCTCTGGAGTTGTAGTTCTGTCACTTTTGAATACGATGGTAAACCCTCGCGGTAGTCACCTGTACATAAATATGTATTACTTAGATACAGTCTTGACTTACAGTCGGGTTTCCGGGCTAAAAATAAACCTGTGTTATTTGTACAACATATTTTATCACTATGCCAAATTCAGTTCAGTAGTTTTTTTTCCATAAAAACGAAAAATCTTTTCATCCATCCTTTAAACTTTTGTGTTAAAAATATTAAGGAGATAAAACTGCAAGCACACAGCACCCTTATACTTTTTACTTTATAAGTAGTATGGATATAACGTCAAGACGACACAAGTCGTATTAAGAGTAGGGACTAATAGATGTAACATAGAAAATAATTGTGCATAGTTAGGACGACTTGTTGGCACGCTTCACCTTCAATTTTGAATTTATCTGATACGTGGCGGCTATTCAGACATAATGAAACAGGTCTTCTTTTATTTTGGCCCTAAGAAGTTTAACTAGAGAGTAAAATTTTTATGTTGTAATCAACATTATCGAATCGACGAATGATATATTTTATAGTTACCTATAAACGCTACGCCAAGGGAGCAACGATTGTATCCAATGGTGTGTGCACCTATAATCTTCCAACCGCGTCCTTCATAAACTCTTCCCTCATTCCCTATGACGAAGTTGTATCTGTAAAGAGAAAGATACGCAACTTAAATACCAAAATATTTAAATAGAAGGAAACGAATCTTTTTTCGATATTTTTGGAGTTCCGTTGCTTTAGCAGTTAATGCAAGAGAGTACTTAAGTCGTTATAGAAAATCGATTGTGTCCTTCTATTCAATTATATAAAGTTATTTTTAGTTTAGTAAGACATCTATTGTGTGTCTGGGCTGCAATTCTGACTAACGTTGTTGAAGTGTACGAAGCCGCCGGCTGTAAGTATTTAACAAAACAGAAATTAGAGCAACTGTTTGTTCTCTAGTTTAATGAAATTTTATGGACAGAAATTTTTCATCACACGTCAGTACCTCAATGAGATTATTTTATAGTTGGCTTAGCAGCATACAACATAGCTATCACGGCCACCCACCTAGATTATAAGACTAAACATAAGTATAAGTACCTACCTAATACTTTTAGCCGGGGTTTCTGGTCAAGCCTAATAAGGTACCGCAGCCTCTATAGGAGAAGCCACGGGGTGTTTTTAGACAAGACTTTCGATACTCCTTCTCGCTAAACCCTGGGCGAGGGTAGTCATTTCAGATCATGATTTAAAATTAAAATCAATAAATACTTAACTAAACTACTCCAAACGGTAACCATGGGAGCCACGCTTTACGAGTTATTTTAATCCTATGTATTTAGGTAAGTAGAAGACGATGAGTGTAATGCATTACCCAAAACTATGTGTTGCTACTGCCTACTGAGAATAAGTATTCGTAGCCGCGGTTGTAAAGCAATGATCAACTTAACTAAAGCATACTTTTACGAGTAATCAGAAGTGGTTTGCGTAGGTATGTACTTACGGAATATCGTAATTATAACTGTTGGTAAAGTAAGACTGAAGGTTGACCATCTCAGCTGCACAGTTCACGAAGAGATTGCACTCAGGGCTGACAGTGTGAGCGATGATGACTAGTTTCACGGGAGTAAAGTCGGTGGCGTCATCGTCATTTAGAAATGCTGGTGCCAGCCACATTTTTCTTGTGATGTACCATTCATGTGGAGCTGTGAAACAACAAATCATTACATTAATTTTGAAGAGGAGCGTCACGTCTCTATAAATAGCGAAAGGGTGTGTCAGACTCTTACTGAAAACTTACTTAGGTACATTTTTTTTTTTGCCTTGAATTGGGTCACGGTATAGGTAACCGCTACACCGGATAATGGCGTGACGAATAAATATAGGGTTGAAAATGGATATAACTCTATAAATCAAACATACTTCTTTAGTTACTTATGCTAGATACCTACCTACTTAGTAGATATCTAGAAAGATATCTTATTACTCAGGACTAGGTCGAGTTGTCCTTGCACACGCTATCTATTATTTACCTACTTTTGCATTAGTGTGAATGGACTTGCGGCCGTTGTCTTTCATGGAGAGTTTTGAACTGACTGACTCAGGTCTTAATACCTACCTAATTATTGGTCATATCAGGGTTAGAGCGTAGGGCAGCGAGCAAGGGTAGTTTGCACGATAACTAGACTCGAGCGTACATGCATTCTAAGGCCCGGGGTTGCAGGTGCAACCGTAATAATGTGTCTCAAAAAAAGCTGATAGGACACAACTGACGGGGCCTTACAGGGCAGATGATCAGCCAGGGTTGCGGGGCTAGCGCAAGAAGGTACCACGGCTTGGCCCAAAGCAGGATAAGGAACGGGAGAGTTTTAAGTTAGAATCTGACACTCCCTCTCTCCACACCGTAGGCGAGAGAAGATTATTAGTGATTTTCCCCTCACAAAAAAAGAGAAACGAGGTGATTTTTAGTCAATAATGTCTATCACTCCTCGCCCCAATTAGGACGGGAGAAAACATTTGATAATACACTCCCTCAATAAAAAAACAGAAAGAAGATGTAAGACAAGATTCTCAACGTCATATCATATCATTTATGATTTTGGAGGAAAATTAAAAAGTTGAAAAATTAATTGTCTTACCGATGTCTACCACTTTATTGGCATTCTTCTTAGCAACGACGGTGAAGTAAACAATTAAAATGATGCAGACAGCCAGAACTACAATGGCGGCCGCGCAGGAAAGTCTTTCTGCTCTCGTTGTACTTTTTGCTATGTCCCATAAGTAACGAGGCAATGGTAAGTCTGAAATGAGATAAGCAGGTATTAACACGACGCATATGAAAAAAAAATAACACATAAAAGAGCAAGCACATTGTTCTACGAGAGCACGGTTTTAAACTACGTGCAGATATTGTTACCTAGTGTTAGTAACACATCACTATTGCCATAAGTATAGATGCCAATTTAAAAATGAGCACGAATTTTAAGCCCGGAATACTCGATAACATTGGTCTCCTTTCAAGTCATTTTTCCCCACCTGGGTTCCTCATCCAGGCTGCTTAGAAATTAACTTGTGTTGTAATTTGAATTCCATAAACCTAACAACTTTCTCGTACTTAGATAGGTAGCGTCACCTAAATCTCAATGCATGAACACCCTATTAAATATCAGTTAAATTAATTAAAAGACAGACACCAAATGAAAGATGTGAATCCATGTTTGAAATCGTTACAAACAAACTAAAATAGTAAATTCACTTTCGCAATTTGTAAATAAAAGTTAGGATTTACCTTCTGAATCCTGATACAACCGGGAACTCTGGAAATTGTTCAGTGACTTGTGATGTTTTCCGTCGAAAAGGTTCTGTTATAAGTTTCTTTTTATGCTAAATAGTTGGTAGATACCCAAGGCAAGGTTTATACTAATTTAAAATAATATTCAGTAATGTTGGGGATAACCTGTTATAAGCCACCACGTGCAGTGAATTCTGTCTCTTAGATACAGCTAAAACCACCGATTTTATCTTGTGAATGCTTAAAGCGATGCAGTTTTTTTACATATAGAGCGATTGAAGAGGAATATTTACATGTATACCTATGTATAATAATATTTCTTAAGTTGTGATGAAATTTAGAATCTCTCCATCAGTATTACACCCTTGCGATGCTAGAACGGGTCTAGTTACTAATGAATAGGTACCTACTTATAAAAGATGATTACCTAAGTATATCTCAAAGATGTGTTAGCCTTTACCTGGCGATCAATTAACTTAGGTAAGCTATCGAGACAAAATTGTAAGCGGATTTTTATTCATTTAATAAGATATGCTATCTACAAACGTTTCATAAATTATCTTCAGATATCTAATTACCTATTTATAATTATTGACTATGATTTTATCAACATTACCTACACAAAACTCATTGAACTCTTAAATCTATTTCAAATATTTATAGACATTTTTGTGGAATTACTAATTAGCATATTTCCCGTAATTTTTATGATTTTCGTTATGTTCTGAAATTTTGTGGAGTGGATAAAATTTTGTATTAGTCGTTTGTGTAGGTTCGTTAGTAAGTTATTTCAACAGACGGTCCCATGACATTAAACCAATGCTACGTACAAAAAGCAGATTAGGTATAGGTACTTAAGGATAATTTTATTAGTGCAGCGTAATGGTTATGAGAGATCTATAGCGTAACCAAATCTTCAAATATTGCCCTTGTTAATATAAACTTGGTTCTGAATATTAATAAGAAAAAGGCAATTTAATCAATCAAAGGAACCAATCTTTTATTTTATATATCAATATATTACTATGTACAGAACGTGGCTCTAACTTTGAATTACAATGTATCTATGATATATTATAAAAATACAAAATAAATTCTCGGAGCAAACAGTAGGTATCAAGTTATCAATTGGTCAAGTCTGTTCTAAAAACATTGTTTATTAATCCGAATTTTTCATCTAAGCCGTTAAATCCCGGCTTTCTAGGACAATCCCATTGTGATGTCACCATTTACAATGGAATTGGGAATAACAAACCACAAATTATATAGGCAATAAAACTTAATGCAATTTATTTTCACCTGTCATGAAATGCTATCCAATGAGATACCTAATCTCGTAAAGGTAGACTTGTACCCAAATGTGGAAACAACACTTCAATAGCTTGTACTAATTGCACACTTACCTACTTTAAATGTGTTTCTTTGACTAAATATTATTACTAGAATAATTTAGGGTTTGATTATTTATAAGAAAAAACGGATTAATAAACAAACAATATATCGTCGTTGCCATATTTTAGCGGGCAACCCTGATCACCTATCTGTTTGTAATAAGGATGAAATAGCAGTGAAAGTCTTTGGTAAAAACTAATTTACAGTAGGTATATGCCTAAGTACTTCAAGAAAAATTAAGTACCTACATAATGTTTAATACAAATGAAATTATTATGTACAACGTTCTTGAGTGTCCTATGTATCTAGTTGTTAAGAACTTTGTGCCTACCTACCTATACATTTGGTTATCATTATAGATAAGCGATTTTTTACATGTGCAGGAATGTGTTTTGGTTAGGTAAACCTGTTCGCTGGTTTAAGGTTTAAGCACTACGAATAAATTATTCTTACTTTTATAAGTTGTGGAAGTTGTTCATCTAAGGGTCATGGAAATTTTGCCAGTAAATTGATAAGATAATTGAGCTGGTAGAAAATGAAAATCAGGACAGAAAATGTTAACAATCGGTTCTCATAATATAAAAGCCTTATTAAGGCCCATTTTGAGTTCTTTGTCACCAATGTATTTGTAAAACTTTTTTACATGCAGAAGGCACAGGTACCTAATCTTATAAATTAGTATACTTTATAATACTTTTAGTATCTAGATATTTTTATTACTAATCATTAGCAATATGTATTTAACCATTAAAGTGAATGGTAATGATATCGTAGGCTAGTAGTGTATTTTACTGTAACAGTAAGTACCCGCAAATACCTAGTACTGCGAAATAACTCCCAACACAAAAATCTAAATACTACTTTTACTTGAGGCCCTACTTCCCGTTTATCCCAAGAAAATTAAACCCAAGGTTCTGAAGTCACACGGTTATAGGTATATTATTAATTTCCATTGTGTCTAAGCTTGGAAACATAAGCTACGACAATTTTCAAGTTTATTTTCGAGACTACTAACGAAATTCGCTAAAGCTTTGTAAAACAACCTAAACACGTAGGCAGCGTTTAGTAAGTTATTAGGCAAACATTTTAAAGGAATACAAATAAATCGCAACTACAAATATTTTAATTATATAGTAAACTTATTTTTAGTGACTTATCAAGTAATTAAATGCACAATCATTCTATTTCTTCTCCTAACTATAAGTATAAAACATAACTCTAACATTATCTACAACTATATTTGTATAACTATTAGGTAGTCCATCTCACTAAATATAATGACCAATCACAGTTTTTTCGTACAATATCTTGATGTCTTCTTAAGAAGGGATTCTTAAAATAATCACGTTCGGAGGCAAGTCGTTTTATTAGCAGGATTCCAGTGCTCGAAGTTGTGTAACTGTTCTACAAGGTTAATGCCTGGCGTTCTCACTGCCCCTTGTACTTGACAAGCGCCATACAACGTGTAGTCTGGCCTTAAAACCTCCTTGTTCACCAACTCTTGCAACAGGACTTTTACATTGTCAAACTGCTCTTTTGTTGGCTCTGCGTTCATATAGTTCCCAAGGAACATGACACTGATACCAATCGTATTCCACGATTTCACCATGGCGCCTATAACGTTTGCACCTCTGCCTTCAAATACCAATCCATTGCCACCGACGAGAAAATTTGGACCAATATCATTCCACCCACGACGCTGGTGATCCCTTTGTATTTCTAACACGTCCTTTATGCAAGCATATTTTTCTGTACAAAATTCCATTGCAGAATGGCCGATGAGAACAAACGATACCGGAAGATTTAGTATGTCTATTCCATACGAAGGCATCGCGTGCCATTGGGCTCGTCGCAGGTACCACGGCTCCTTTATATCTAGCCAAATTAAAACAATTATTGAGATTTTATCCCGAATTTGATCTTGTTGAACATGGCTTATTGAATAATGCTCAGTTAGTGATGAGTTTGTTAGTAGACAGGGTAGATTAGCAGTGTTAGTGGAAATATAGCGGGGTCGGGTGGATTGGAATCGTGTTCTTGTGGACATTAAGCCTATTAGAGGCAGAAAGCAAGTTTTTACCTAGATCTAGACGTATTGCTTGTTTTGCCATCGCAAATTGGAAGATGAAGAATGTGAGGCCAGACGCAACTACGAAGGCCCAGCACACGAACACCGCGATGCTACAGCGGAGTCGCTTGGAGTTCTGGGGCGAGACCAGCTCAAGGCCCAGAATGCGGCCTGAAACATCACGAATATCGCGGATAGTAAACAATACTCACGGATCAGACTAAAAGGAAAATACGGTTTGATAACGAGCAATCGGCGTCAATCACGCATGCGGCCTCGGGCGTGTGACAGCAGTTATTATTTGCTTGCAAACGAGAATATTTTGAAATGTTATTCGAAAAATTAAGTCAAGACTCGAATTATTTCGTAAATTTTGATCGGGCCAGATTTTAATATAAATACATATTTCTATTAGTAGACTTTACATACGGGTATATAACCAGTTAAATACGCCAAACTAAAAGTAGGTTTTGTTTTATTAGAAATCTGCAAAAGAATCTTTGCATATTTTCGTTTCGTTTACTGTTTGTCAAATCTGGCGTGCTCACGCTAGATTTTCGAGCTGGCCAGTGTGAAGTTGAAGCTAGTGATATTTATTTTAGTAGGTGGCCTCAAATAAGTGGTCATGTGATTGAGTTGGCAAATAAAATTTCGGTATAAGTAAGTACATGTATGTCAACTTAAGCTAATTACCAAGGATTCACGATCTATGAATGAGAAATCGTTCTGCTATCTAATATACTGTGCTTGGTACTTTGTTGTCTTTATGAAACTTTTAAGAAAAACTGCCAAAGTTGCGTAAATAGTGCAAATTTTATAAACGAAGGGTACAGCCCGATCAATAAATATGTCAATTGAAAGTGAGCTCTTAATTTGACCCTTTGTTTTAAGTTTTAAAGCTTTTTTATGATAGCCGTAGCTATAATATTCAAAGGTTAGAAAGAAGTGTATTTCCTGTGTTATACTAGGTTTTAGTACCATCGTTACAAAAAGAGATTAGTACAGAAAAAACAGAATTAATTTGAAGTTACAGGCAGGATACATTAATG